CTTACAGGGATTTAAGCCGGCAATGATCAATATGTTTGCAGACGACGTGAAATTGCACACACACATAAAAGAGAAAAACAAGATAACAGACATCGTATTATGCTAGTGCCATCAAAGTGACATCAAAAACTCGTTCAAGTGGAGCTGTGCATGGAAAATGGAATTCAACAACAATAATACCAAGATAAGAGATGTAGTATTATACACAGCAGGTAGAGAAAACACCCTGGAATAATCATAAATAGGAAACTAAGCGCAAATGATCATATAAATGAAAGCTCCATAAAATAGGGCTGATTGCCAACATGAAGATATGGTAAATGATATCACAAGACCTAGTCTAGAGTATGCTGCAGTGGTATGGAGTCCACACGCACAGGATATTGACAAACTGGAAAGAGCAGCCATAAGATGGGCACCTCCTCTAAGAGATATGAACTATGAAGACTTGGAAGAAAGAAGGAAAAGAGTTAACATGATTATGCTGTTCAACTATGCTACAGGAAGAGTGAAGTTAGACAAAGATGACTATTATTTTTAACACAAGAAGAACGAGAGGACACGATTAAAAGATTCAAATAAAAAGAAGCGATATAAATGTCAAAAAGTTCAGTTTCCCAAACAGACTATAACCTGGAAATCTTCCAAATAACACTGTGTCGTAAAAATGTGCAACAGTTTTAAAAAGTTATGCGATAATTGTCACAGCAAACGGTGCTATCTGAGCTATACTTTTCTCCCGTATTAAAAACCACTGGATAAGAATGCACGCACACATAGACACACACATATGTATATATATGTATGTATGAACATGTATGTTTACATTCATATATGTATTTACGTCTTTTTTCTATAGTATCCCAATACCCTAAAACTTTGATACGTTACAGTTTTTTTCATGGTCGCTACAAAATACTGTATCACTGAAGAATGTTCAAGTAACAAAGGCTTAAAGAAATAAGATTTTTCTTAATTTCACATAAAAATCAAAAGAAAACCATAAAGGTACTTAATATACTGGATTAATTGTTAATGACGAGCAAATATTGTGGAAGTTTCAATTAAAATAGGAAATATAACCGAGTACTTTATAGCTTTCACTGGTATAGTAGCTATTAGACACAAATGCCTGGGCCTACACTTTATCGCGAAGGATGAAAATTATTAAAGGGCTAAGCGCAGTAAAAACGTGAGGATACGAATAGTGTAGGGTTAGGTATCTACAGACCTATCCAAAGTTACTTTCTCAGACACCTTTTGTAAGTGACATGTCTTTTACCCCAAGCATAGATGACTAACCTAAAATCTTAAGGGGGTGTCACACTTGCAATGTGTTCGTGGCTCTTTGACGTTTCCGTGTGTTTTTCCTCACTACCGCTGGCATTTTGCCCAAATGCGATAATCTCCAGACACACGATAATTAACGTTTTCTTCTGGTCTTATTGTTCAGATCATGTTTGAATTAACAGTAACTATGACAATGCTAAGAAACTTTATTTTATGAAACGATTAAAAAAGACAGTCTAAAGTGTATGTAACATAAAATAAATGGCTAAATTCTTTATTGCATTTATTATTAAAATATACAAGGCAACTATTTGCTCGTTTGTTTGTTTACAAGTGCCACGTCCGCTCCCCGACTACAGTATACAGAATGTAAATATATTGGGGGTCCTCAACTTGCGACGGAGATCCGTTCCTACGATGGCGTCGTAACCTGAATTTTGACGTAAGTCTGAACTCACCTAAATACAATACATGTACATGTACTAAGCACCATAGTCACACATAAACTGAGGTATGTATACAAGTATTAGAGTCATAATCTAAAACATAACAAGACACTTTTATGACGTACATGAAAACATAACTTGGGCTAAAGGAACAGATGGAAGACAAACTGAAAATACTGTACACGATTTCTAGCGTCGTAAGTCGAGACCGTCGTAAACCGAGGACCCCCTGTGTATATATGTGTATATATATAGATATAGATACACACACACAACACACACACACACACACATACACACACACACACACACACATACACACACACACACACACACACACACACACACACACATATATATATATATATATATATATATATATATATATATATATATATAGGGCCTATATGTGTGTGTATTTATCACGCTCAAAATGCAATTTAGAAGCGCAACCCTGAAAAGTTGATGCATGTATCCCAAACCGTGCCCAATTACCTTTACTCTTTCATAGCCTCCATAGCACCCTCGATCATCTCCAAAATCCATTCCGTTGTTTAGGGGTGTTTAAGGGGTCTATAAAGGGTCTATAAGGGGTATACGAGAATGCAAACTATATCCATTCTCATTTACTCTGTGATAGCTTTCCAGAGCAACCTGGATCACCTCTGTAACCCTTGCCGTTGTTTAGGGGTGTATTTAAGGGGTCTAAAAGGGGTATGAAAATTTTAATTTCATACCCAGTCTAATTAAGTAATTTACTCTGTGATAGGTTTCCATAGCACCCAAAATAAACCTGCAACCATGTACTGTTGCTTCAATATTTAAGCAGTATTTTAGGGGGTTGTCACGTCCTGACCCCTTACAGGGACCCCTTATCGGAACGCCACAGCCCAAGCTACACAGGAGGACCTCGGGACCTTTCTAACATGCCCAAGAACTCCCCCCAACTCCTTGTGATTGCTGGGAAAAAGTGAACATTAGTAGGTCTCGTTGTGGTTCATGGTTTTTCGGTATGAAAGTTATGAATACATAGCCCTGTGGCCGTCCCACTTGTTTTCGGTTCAGTTGGATAGGAATTGTTTTTTTTCAGGACGGGGTCTCTGTGTGTGAGTATAAATTTAATAAGGTCGTATTCGTCGGTCTACTTCCGTGGTTCTTATTGCTGGTGTGACAATGTGCGTCAAAAAGACGAGTTCGTGTGGTACCAGCGATGAAATAATGTGGAAAAATTCCAAGTGTGACACGGTCTACAAACAGTAGTGTGTTTCTTAGCAACTGCGCAAGAACTAAACATGAACGCGTCAACATGATAGCGTCCCTCTCAATGTTATAAGAAAAAGGCGGCAAATAGGTATGAGTTTTTATTTTTAATGTCACTTAAATAATGTCAACTTAACTTCAGCTGGGTGGCTCGACTAAACACGCACAGTGAGCATGTCAGATCTATAGCAATGTGTACACATAGGTCATGCATACCTTAGCTATAGCTATAAAATATGTAATGTATTCAAAATTGATTCTTATTAAAGAATAGCTTACTGCCATTTTTTAAGGATGTGATTTCGTAACCGCGTAGCACCTTACTGCGCGATTGTGACGTTATTGGGCCTACAATGTCATTCTATTAGAGCAACGCCCTGGCCTACTGTGTAACCAGAACACTCTTCGAATGTGGAAACTTTCAAATTTCTCAGATTCATTCAGAACATGTGTCTTCTCTTTACTGACATTGCTATTCATATGAAAATTATTAGTTACAGAAGGTTTAGCATCTTATCGTATCCACCGTGAGTGATCGTTATTCCAACGATCACGGTATTGACTTCTCTTACTGATTGAATTATATCAGCAAAGTAGCATAACCTTTTCTTTGGTATTTTTGAGATAAAAATAGATAGCAAGGTAAAAGGTGATGAAAGAACGACTAACCTGGCCTGTTTCTCCTGGCGTCTTGTTTACATTGAAACCGAAAAGCCTCGCCATTGTCATCATCACGGTCTCTGTTGATGGTCCTTTGCGCCTTCCCTTCCTCTGAAACACGAAGAGCTCTCTCGTGCAATAACAAACTCGCATTATATGTTCAGCATTTCTTATTCATTTTCTTTTATCCTATAATTTATACTTTATGTGCGTACGTGAGTGTGAGAATGTTGACTGTAAATTCATGCATGTAATTGTGCCAAAATAATATATAGCCACATATGTACATATATGTGTGTGGTGTGTGTGTTTATACATATAAATATCCATATGTATACAAATATTCACACATGTGTATACATATACATATTAGGGTACTCGGTAGATATTGATAGAGCAGTTCAAATTCGACATCAGAAATACTGAGGTGTATTTCATGAAAGATGGAAAAATGCATTACTGCAGTGATATGATAAATAAATAATCTCTCTGATCGGGACTCATTGCAGGCGGGTAAATGCAAGACGAACGCTCTGCCACTGAACTACACGACCCGCTAAGAGGAGTGTGCAACTTGGAATCATCTACCTTCCCTTAACATTACCCGTTTACTCATACGTGAGTAAGGATAGCGAAGTTTTACACACATATTGATTACATTTTGCATAAATCAATTTATACATTTGTTTTAAATATGTCCATTAGCTATTACGTGTGTTCAATTTGGGAACCTTCGGCCATTAGCCTATCGTGTTTTATGTACAGTTTGTTTAGAAGGCAGGGCAGGAATGGGAGGGAGACAGGTTGCTGGCTGCCCCTAAATCTCCCCGGGGAGCCTCCAAATGACCCAAATATAATGTTTAACATTATTTCTATCCAATGACCATATCCTTCAAATCTGGTCTAGCTTCTAGTCGCCCTCAATTTCGATTCTCTGCAATGTACCAGGCTGGTATCTGAACTATTAGATAAGACTGCTTTTCTTGAATTGGCTTGGCAAACAGTTTTGCCAGAAAAGGTCATTCTAATTGGAACGACACATGCATACACTGGTTCATTTTGTCCTTTCAATCTTTATTTAGAAATATAACCTTTCTGCCTTATTCGTATTACTATTGTACAATGTTGCGGATTATATCTACATATCTCAAGTAAAAATAGGATAGCAGGGTAACATTTCCAAACAGGACTAACCTGCATTGCTTTGTTGACTTCGACCCCGGTAGGTGTCGTCGTTGTAAACCCGGTGTTCTCTGTTGATTGTCCTTGGCTCTCTCACTTTCTCTGTTGACACAAGGAAGAATTCCTCAGTTTGCATGACCATTACGTACTTTATGTATAGCT